TAGAAGCTCAATATTACAAGTATCTCAACAAAGTACGAGAGTTTGGGGTATAAATAAAGTCATGGCAACTATTTTTTGTTTGTATGTGAGAAAACTAGTACGGGTGTAAAACGTGAAGAATATATAAGAAAGGTCAAAATATAAACTGTGTATGAATAAAATTGTGGTTTTCATATTTATTAAGGTGTTTGAAATGACAATACTGTGTTTTGGACTGTACAGTACTTTAGTTTGGGTTAGGTTTTTGGTTTTGCCCTTCCCTCTTCCTAATCAATCAGCAACACCATTAAATCGCCTTACATTTTGTTTTTGACAAATACAATGGGATGTCGATTATCCGAACGTTAATCATCCGAAACCTCAAATATCCAAACTCATATTTTCTCAGAATAATTATTTTTTAAATTAGGTACCGTATACTGTACGTATTAATTTTCTTTTGTAATACTGAATATTGAGAATGATGCTCGATATGATTGACAATGATAAAATATTAACGAGATAAGATACTGTAGTCAATCATCTGACTTCAGTGAACTTTGACAAATCCTACAATAATTCGGATTGTTTATTATTCGGAATGTTTATTATTAGCAGAAAATCGCTTTTCACTACCTTTAAGTGCAAGAGACAAGGTAGTATGTGCCGTAGTATGCCAGTGTTTATTATCTACAGGATATTGTACGTGCAGTGCAGTATTTTAATGGTACGTTCTCTTAAAGAAACTTTATACATACAGCATTTCTGGCTTCATTCTTACCCTTGTAAGCCACATAAATTATTTATATTTATTGATCTGCTCCTTGTCCATTCTTTTTATATATTGTCCGTGGAATGGTATGTCTCTCAACAGTTTCTTTAACATTTTTGTGTCTCACATTTCATGTTAACTTGCATCAGAAGTTCAGTATCTGTGTTATTTTGTGTGTTTTTGCATGGTCTTCTTCGTAATGCTTCTTGCTACACTTATAATGCCTCTGTTTCCCATTATTTGGTCAAATTTCATGACCTGCCTCATAAGTGGGTTATCTTGATGGCTGAATACATACTTTCCCATCCCGACAATTGCATTGTGCCAGGACTTTTCAATTTGTCTGAGGCTTCTTTTCTTTCCTTACTTGATACATAAAGTCTATGTACATCAGCACGATGGTGAGCGCCAAGACGCATTGTAAACAGTTTTCTGTTTTTTCGAACCATAATTACAATTTCTCGCTCAGTCCAGTTCGCTAGTTCGTACATTTTGTTAGCCATGACAGTAGTCATAACTTTGTTCAATTCTGTCAGACAAGTGATTGGCCTGTAGTTCTTCGCCAAAGAACTCTCTCCCGTTTTGGGTAGCAAATAAGTGATGCTACGTGTGAGCTATTCAGGGAGTTCCTTTGGATTTTCTAAGATTTTATTAACAGCCTTTGCAAGATGAGAATGTAATACTTTTAATTTCTTCATCCAATAATTCTGGATCTTATCAATACCGGAGGATTTCCATTTTCCCGTATTCTTGATTGCTTGGAAGATGTTCTTTTCTGAGAATTCGTGAGCATTTTCCACTGTTTCCATGAGCTCATTGTCTTCAACTTCAGAATGGGGCCACGATGCGTTTTTGTTGTAAGATCTGCTTTCTTCCCATATTGCGGAAAGGCAGCATTGCTTTCGGTTTTTGAGTCAGGTTGCGATAGAATCTCGTCGTATCTGTTTCAAACAAACGGTTTTGTACACGGAAATCTACTCTACGTTTGTAAGTCTAATTCGTTGAGCCCATGTTTTTATTTTCTCTTTTAGCTTCTCAGCTACCATCAGTTTTGTAGTGTTATTTTCAATTTGGTATTTTTGTTCAATATGGAGACTTTTTCGTTGAACTTTATAAGTGTGCGTCGGTTTAGAAGATGCCTTGACTAAGAGTGGTATTTCATTCCGAGTCTTGGATATCCGTTTCATAATTCTTTTCGCCCAAGGGGGTAAGGAGCTGTTTACTCTGGCTGCCTGCCGGTCGTCGATGTTCTGGGCTACCCCCAAAATTATCTGAGATACCAGATTTCCAATTGCATACGATATGATTGATTTCTGTAATACCTATCTCTACCTGGTGTCCGTACCACCTCATTTAAGACAGAATTTGCTGTCTCCCTCACTCTCTTAGCTTCATCATTTTTGTATATTCTCCTCAACAGTGCACGAGATTCGAATGAAAGTAGGCGAATTCGTTCTATCTCGCGTCTAAGGAAGTTCCGCATCTTGTCCTTATCGTGCGATTTATAGCCAGATGAATTTTTACCAGTGTCGGATGTTTCATTGAGAATAGATGTTCTTTCGAGAGGACCATCGTTTTCAGGGATATAAGATGGTTCTGTATGTTCGTCATGAGGATAGTTCGCTCAATAAATATGTTCTGCATTTCCCTGAATGTCATCCAGAGCTGCTGTGAATTTTCTACTACTGAGCATGTACGGTATCGTCGTTGACTGGCAAGTTTCTTTGAATCTAGAGTAGTCTCATATCTGGGTTCCGCTCTCTTCATATTTTGAAAACTTCTATTTCTAAGCCCCCATTTTCCGCTTTTACACAGTAAGAACACCACATCACATCCCTTAATTCAGTTCATGTCCATCTCTGAAAATGGCTTCGAGCTACTGCCGACCCTAGGCTTCTGGGACTGACATCCGTGGAATAGCCGTAGCCATCCGTGGAATAGTCGACAAATAGACATTAACTCGGTTCTAAGCAGATACAGAACGATGGTAGAACAAAGCACGTTAAGATTCATTACATTTCTTGTTCTATTCATTTTTCTCATTGGTTTTAAGTGAAGTTTCGCAGGAAGCAAGTGCGAGTTCACTGTTCACACTTAACCCATGGGTTATTTCCTGTCATCCGTGACGGCCACCCACAGTGGCCCCGGGTCATCCTCCTGCAAGGTCCAGCAAGGGCTTCCTCCGATCGCCAGACGACATTACTAAACTCTACGGGATTTTCACTCGCTGCTGTAGGCAACCCCCCTTCGCTGGCTAACACAAGACTCGGGCATCCTCTCTAATCAGTGGCCTGGTGTGCCACCCCAATTTTTTTCCTGTATCCTCCATGGACCAATGACAGGAAGTCAAAAGATTCATGACTCCTCCCTCTCTACCTGTTTTGCGCTCTCCTCTGGAGCACTTCTTAGTCTGACTGATCCCTCACTTTCAAACTATTCAGCATGTGAGTCTCTACCGCCGACATAGTTCTCAGACTAATGGGGGTACTCACGCTCCACCACCAACTACAAGGTGTGTACTCCTTAGGTGGAGTTGTTGTTGTTATTATTATTATTATTATTATTATTATTATTATTATTATGACATTCTGGCATGCGAGATTCCCCCTCCACCCACAAACAGATAACTCTGAAGGCCAACAGTCACTCATCAGCCGCTGTCACTTCAAGTCTCCTCCCACCGAAAAGAAGTTTTCTTTGTAGAAGTGCCGAGAGCTTTTCTTGCAGGAAATAGAATCCGAGTCGAACTCTCCACGCCGACAGGTCGAAACGCTGATTTCCAGAAGCTGCCTTCCAAGGGACACTGCCCTGGCTCTTATGACATTGGCTGTTTCGAAAACTGGAAAATTGTTTTCTGAAATGGAAAAAGGGCCTCTTTCGCATTGTTTATTTTAAAATTTCGTTTTCCCACGTCTACTTTATATTAATTATTTGACAGTAAAGATTAAGTAGGAATAGAAAAAATTGTTATATGAACAGAGGGTACTGGGTTCAGTTTAAACTAAAGACACTTTCAGTATAACTTACTATATTTTTTTTTCTTTTTGTAACATTCAGTCTATAAAACGTTAACACAGTGTACAGAAAAGTGCGATCAGAAGCGAAAGTATATTCGATTATTGAAAATCCAGATATTTACGAAAATATTGGCATAGGAAATTGGTATATTTAAGCTGGGCCGTTTCGGGCCAAGGTTAATTTTTGGAGGCCCCCTATTCTTACTTTCATAGATCCCCCCTCAATTTCGATGCTGAAATACAAAGAAAATCCTATCAATTCACTTTGTTTTTTGTATTTTTAAAATAAAAATATTTTGAAAGAATTTCTTGTTTCAATTTTTCATTATTCAAACGAACAAAAAACTTAAACACATATGTATAAGTAAGAATAACATATTTATAATTATATTGAAAAACACTACAAATGAAATAGTTTAATTTTTTATTGAATTGTACATTATAAAATTGAAATGCATTAACTAGCAACATTCCATATTATAAATATTAGTCAATGATGCATGACACATCTCTCCATTATTTTAACTGTTTGCATATAGTTAAACCATATATTTTCCTATTTTTAATTTATTTTTTGAAAAATTTAGTATTAAATATTTTTTTTACGAACTGCCGGGGGCCCTTGAACAATGAGAGGTCCGTGTGTTAACATAGCACTGTATTTATGGCATGAGCCATTCTTTTGTGTGATGATTAGGGAACCGATTTCTATGATTTTGCATATTTTTCTTGGTTACAGATTAATTCGTTTTGTTCTACGCAGATTAATATGTTAGTGCATTTTTGTGCATATTTGGCTGATGTGTTATCTTGGTGCATATTCGAGTAAATGTATGCGCATATTTTGGGAATCCCTGTTCTATACAAGTTTGTCCAAGAATCATCTCAATACTTAGATGAATTGAGGGTTTCATTAACCCAAACTCTGCTAAAATCGAACAACAACAAAATTATTGATGTCATTTCGAGATGAATTTCTTCTATTCATAATAGTATCTGTAAGTGAGATGTATCAAAATATACAATTTTGTTAAAAGTGGGGTTATCGGTTGAAAGGTTTTACAGACATACAATAGTTTTTAGAGTAAAAAGCAAGAAAGAAAATTTGGACAATGTGAACCTGAGTTTTTAATTTTTAATCACTTTAAATTGCCCGCTAGAAATTATTTCAAGCTGTGAATTTAAAAGACTCTGGTATAGATTCTTATATGAGTGATTCGTTCAACGAATCATTGAAATTAAAATTTCTTAGGGTGGAAAAGTGTTCCAAGTCTGGCAAAGTAGTGCATATATATAGAAAAAAGTATTATTGAAATCAACAATATAATTGTCTACGGATCTCCTTTCTTACATTTACGAATTACCGATTATTAATGCATCGACGAGCGAACCGGTTTTGAATAGAGAAGACGCAATTCAGTGCAAGCAATAATTCAGTTTCATTCTATTATAATTTCAATAATTTCTATCTACTTAGCTAATGGTTACTATGTTTATCTCCGCGCTTTTTTTAAGTGATGGTCGATGCCGACGGTTTTGATTTAATTTAAAGAAAAAAATATACTTTAAGGTGTTGACGTGGCGAAGAGTTCGAACGTGGCGCCTGACGTAAGCACATGTGTTTTATCCAATTCCAGCCTTGTACGTGCGCTGTGGTGTGTTGGTCGCTCTGGTGCTGTGGGATGTGGGCGGATTGATTGCATTTGCGCCGGCGTTGTTTCCAGGTAGTATATGTGACAATAAGGCCGGTCGTTGGTTATTAAGTGGAATTTTAGGCAAATTACGCCGATTTCGCGGCTTTAACAAGAGCAAGGAATGGCTCGTCCAATGTTTTGGATAACATGCGTATGTGCTTTGGTTCCTGCTGTGTGGGGAGGAGGCGATACCCTGGTGTTGCTGGATAACCTAGCTATTAAAGAAACACATTCCATGTTTTTTAAGTCCCTTCAAGGTAAGTGAATTCGTGTAAATTGATAGCGTAGTTAATTTGCGTACGATATTTATTTAATTATACTCAATGTTGTTTCCAGAAAGAGGGTACACACTTACTTTCAAGTCTGCAGATGATGCTAATTTAGTACTTTCTAAATACGGGGAATTCTTGTACCAAAATCTTATTGTTTTTGCACCATCTGTTGAAGAATTTGGAGGTGCACTGAGTGTGGAGGCTATTACTGAATTCATCGATGGTGGTGGTAAGACATCTTGAGCCCAACAGTTTTCATTATTTAAATGGGAATGAAAATCCTGAATCTCTTGGTGTATTACCATTTTAAAGTATATACTTGTTTTACAGATATATAATATATGTATTATTAAGAATTTTGGAAGGTTCAGAGAACCTATGTAATTTAATTAATGAAATTGTGAAATTAAGTATGAGATTATTGTGCTCCCTCAATAAATTCGACTTTTTTCTTTTATAAGAATTTCATTATTTTCATGTACCATTTTGAGTATTCATAGTAAAACATTAGTTATGAGCTTGTTTAAATATATTGCATTTAGATTTAGATTTACTTAGTCAAAAAAAAAAAGAAGAATGTTATATTCAATTTTATTGATTTCAGTTTTATTTTTTCTTTAGAGTTTTGTTCAGTTGCTTGTTTAAGCTTTCTAATAATTTCCTTGGGCATTAATAACTAATGATTCTTTAATATTTTAGGAAATGTTTTAGTTGCTGGAAGTTCAAGTTCAGGGGATGTTCTTCGTGAACTTGCTTCTGAAGTTGGATTTGAAGTAGATGAAGAAGGTGCGTCTGTGATTGACCATCTAAATTACGATGTGCATGATTTGGGCAAGGTATGAAGGTATTTTATTAAATTAATTGGCTCATAAGAAATTGTAATTGTCAGAAACTGATTTTGCTGAGACATATTTGTATTCATTGCCTTTTGCAGCATACTCTCATTGTGGCAGATCCTGAAAATCTCATAGATGCACCTGTCATAATTGGATCTCGAAATGTACCACCTCTTCTTTATCAAGGAACTGGTCTTGTGGCTGACAGAGATAATCCATTAGTACTTCAAATTCTTTCTGCTCAGAGTTCAGCTTATTCATATGTACCTGATGAAGCTGTGAAAGAGGTATTTTAAAATAATTAATATTTTTGTAATTTTAGTAAGGTACACATATTTACCTTCTTGTTCTTTTGCCAGTACCCCCATGCAGTTGGTAAAAACACACTTTTGATAGCAGCATTACAAGCAAGAAACAATGCCAGAGTTGTTTTCTCAGGCTCTTTGTATTTCTTCTCTGATGAAGCATTTACATCTCCTGTGCAGCGAGCTCTTGTAAGTTTGAATGTACTTAGACTGTTTTATAATAATAGAAAATCTGAATCTTTTCTGTATGCCATATTTTCTTCCATTAGAATGGTAAACTCTATGAGTCATCTGGTAATCAGCAAGTGGCCACTGCCATTAGTCAGTGGGTGTTTAAAGAACATGGAGTTTTGAGAGTGAAATCTGTTTCACATCATCGTGCTGGAGAGAAATCTCCTCCACCTGCCTACACAATCATGGAAGCTGTTGTGAGTGTTTATTTACTGTCTCCTTACTATTTATATAACTATAATGTAAACCACCGACAGATATGAGGGGAAAACCTGGGTGCAAACTGCAAGTGTTAATGGTGAAAACATTACCTCAAAACATGCTTCTCGCAAAACATTTTGTATGGTGTTATAAATTAATTAATTTGGTGAAAAGTTTGAGAAGAGATTTTAATTTGGAAGAGCAGCAATGTGAGGAGGAGTTCAAGACATTCTCTTTGGTTTCCAATATTCAACATTTAAAAAAAGGATTAGATTGAAATGTCTAGTAAATTTAAAATATTATTTTGTTCATAATCACCACCACCAACGTACATATTGAGAGTTGTGAATGAGGAATTAATTATTCATAATTGTTTCCACAAATAACTAATATTTGTGTTTTGTCATAGGTGTACACTATTGAAATAGAGAAGTTACAAGGGGATAAGTGGGTTCCTTATGATGCTGATGATGTGCAACTTGAATTTGTTCGAATTGATCCCTTTGTTCGCACAATGCTGCAACGAAAGCCCGGTGGCAAGTACGAGGCCAACTTCAAGATTCCAGATGTGTATGGTGTCTATCAATTCAAGGTTGACTACAACAGAATAGGTTATACGCATCTATATAGTACTACTCAGGTACGAAGTTAAAACTTTCTTCTTTTTTTAATGTGAATATAACCTTCAAGTTTCATTAATAAATAAAATTGCTCTTCTCTTGCTTATAGGTTTCTGTGCGACCACTACAGCATACTGAATATGAAAGATTTATTCCAAGTGCTTATCCATATTATGTCAGTGCTTTCAGCATGATGGCTGGTGTGTTCCTTTTTAGCATTGTATTTTTGCATTATAGAGAAGAAACAAAGAGTAAGAGTGAGTGAATACTATTACAGTGTGAAAGTTTGAATAAACATATTTAAATTGTTACAAATTTGTTTCTCTAGAACTTCCTTTTATTTTGTACAAGTGTCTGTTAACAGAACAGGATTACAGTTGTTGTTGTTGTTGTTTTTTTTTTTTTTTTTTTTTTTTTTTTTTTTTTTTTTTTTTTTTTTTTTTTTTTTTTTTTGGTGTGTGTGTGTGTGTGTGTGTGTGTGTGTGTGTGTCTGTGTTCTTAAAGCTTTCCTCACTAAAAATGCATCCAGAAATTTAATAATTATAATATTTTCTGAGAGGTTCTTCTGAATTTTTAATTTCTCTTATAAAAGGACTTTACTGTTAAATCTGAAATAAAGTTTTTGTTTTTACTAACATTTATTTTTAATATGGATGATGGGTGTAGCCTGCAGATTCCAGTACAGGTACTTTTGTTTAGCTACCTTTGTGTGTAATAAGTAGATCACATGCGAACCCTGGTGATCCTTACGGATATTTGTAGCAGTTGGTTCCAAAACCTTTCCTCAAAGTTTCTCTTCCTTTCTGTTGTCACTTCCTTTGAAAGTTTCCTCCAAACTGTTCTGAGTAGAATTATTCTCATTGCTTCTATCCAAGTCAAGTTAGTTGTTTTTTTGATTTCCTCGTCTCATCTTATTTTCCTTCCCAGTCTCCTAGTTCCATCCATTGTTCATGTCCTTTTCCAGTGATTTCGTCTTGCAATGTGTCCAAAGAATGATAATTCTGTCTGACGGTTGTGGCTTCTAAAGAGCAACCCGGCTTCACTTCTTCCAATATAGGCAGGTGTGTTCTTCTGAGAGCCTAGTGAGTTTTCAGTATTTTCTGCCAGCACCACATTTCAAATGCATAATTCTTTTGTCTATAATGTTAAAATCCAGCTTTCAGAGTCGTATAAAACTAATGGAAAAGTTGTTTTAATTGGTTTAGTTTGATAAATCTGATTCTCAATGAATTGTTACATTTTCTCATGGCTCTCTTTCCCAAAATAATTTTTCTTTCAATTTCTTCAGTGCATCATCCATCTTTTGTTATAACTCCTCCCAGAAATTTTACCTTGTTTGTAGTTTTTATTTCTTCATCATTTATCTGTATTTTCTCTCTGTCCTGTTGTCATTACTATTGTCTTTTTTAAATTCAACTTGCCCTGCTTTCTGACTTTCTTCTGTCACTCCCTAATCTACCTTCACTGTATCTTAGTCCTTTTGGCTTTGGATACATACTGCCAAAGTTCGAAATTTGGCCTTATAATTTGTCCATTAACCTGATGTCTTACTCGGAGGCACCCAGAGAAACGGACGCGGGGCAATAAATACACAGGATCCCTTTGTTTTAAACATTCCCCCTCTATTTATATCATTAATATTGTGTACTGTGAACTACACTTCTAGCACTGTTAAATATTTATTTTTCAAAAATATAGATTGAAAAGTGTGTGTTTCAATGTATGGGACTCCACTTCAGGGGAGGCCTGCGGACCCTTCACCCAGATTCTCCACCCTCTTGAGTGCACATATTGAAATTAGCCATAAGCTGCTGGCTTAAGTAAGGTGATTGTTCGAATGCAAGATATTCTGCATGCTCATGAGAAGTATTGACATAAAAATGTACTGGAAATTATGCATTGCACCGATTAGAGATTGTGAGTCAACTGAGGTATTAGTTATGTTGGATTAAGTGGTATGTAGATAAAAATGTATGATGAATAGAGTGGAACTTATATCTCTCTCTATAGTAGCCTTAGCAACAAGTCTTATCCCTTCTTATCACACATCTGCTATTTCTTGATCTATTTGCCTTCCCTAGCAATGGTGTTGGGCTAATGTTTGTATCTTCCAACTAAAGTTTCACATATGCTTTGAAAGTGGTTCTACTGTTGAACTTTATCAACCTACATTGAATAATGTGAACATTAGTGGCTAATTTGGGAATTTGCCAGATTCAGATGTTAGTCATATACATGCCTATTACTTGTCAGAATTTGGAATATGTTTATCAAACTTCATCATTGCAGTACTAATTCATTTTAATTGAACAGCTTAAATTATGTGAATGGCATAATTACAATTTGTGGATAAATATTTTTGGTAATACTGCATTGTTTAATCCCTACCTGAGGTATGAAAACCCACGCTTTGATAGCTTGCTGTCTGTTAAAGAGTAGAAGTATTGAAAAATTTTAAAAATGGCAAAATACGAGAGCTTATTGCTTCAAAAATTCTACATGAAAGCATAACTCAAATAGTTTGATTGTAGACCTCAAGTATTTTGTAAATTTACAAATTCATAACTGCATACATTACTTGCATTATAAAATTTTGAAATGAGTAAATTACTCATGAAATTCATTATATTGATATTCTGTGCTGTGCAGCCCCTATTGACAGCAACCCGCATCTGCAGTTGTATGTGAATTGGCCAATGGACTTACTACAAATCAATTGATTTGAAATTTTAATTGGTGGCACAAAAATTTGATTCTGATGAACAAATGGGAAAAAAATGTCTCATTCTGATCACCAATGTGACAGTTGCAAGGCAAACTGCAATAGCAAACATTGTTTAAGTATAAAATTGTACTTTGAAAATTAATCTCAATCCTCTAGTTTATAGCAAAATACATTGTTTCATTTTAAAAAATTCACAAATGATTAAATTTCTTCAAATTTAAAATTCAGATATTTAATAAAGGGTTATCATTCTTTCAATTACTTCACTGAGATTCGCTATTTGAGAAAAAATGTAAGACCAAATTCCCTTTGGTGAAAGTTAAGATTTTATTTTGAACATTAATTCTTTTATATACATGTTTGTGGAATGTATTGTCATCTTTCTTAGAAACTTTACAGTTAATATACTACAAAGTTACAAACATATAAAATATATAAATGCATTTTCAACAATTCATGAGCATTAGTAAATCTTGCACTAATTTTTACAAATCCTGTCACCTTGGTTCAACTCATCCTCAAGTGTAAATGATTCCTGGCAGTTATATGTGAATTGCAGGTAACTTGTCCTATAAAAAAATCAATCAAAAGAATAAGCTATCACAGCATAAAAGTTCAAATGTGATGTGGAATAACCACAATAAAACCATAAGTGACAGATTTGTAACCAACCATAAGGATAATATCACAGAATGCCATATTTTCAGGCATATATTGTAGTCTTCTATACAAGTCAGTTGCAACAATTTATATAGTTAAAAATTCTGTACAATGAACATTAAGTAACAAAGCCTACAGATTATATACACAAATCAAACAGAAAACAGACAAATCTTAACCAGTCTAACGTAACCATAGATCACAGCTGATATGAAACAACCTGCTTCATTGCATCAAAAACTCTTGTAAAATAAAATACCAATACATAAAATTACCATATTAATCCAGAATAAATACATACTGGAATATAGACAAGAGTTACCTTTGCATCTCTCTTCAGATATCGCAGTTTCCAAGTTTAATACCCTGCACAGAGCCACCTCGACTTACTTTTAGAGAAAGTGTTGAAAGTATGCCTGAAATGTTCCCTTCAATACAGCAAACAAACTTTTAGGAACAATCCATAAAATTATTTCTATTGAAATTTCATTCGAAAAGATTACTGAAATGTTTTCAATAGCTGTGAAAAGATTCAGAGAGCAGTTTTTGAATCTGTATTATATTCATTTACAAAAAAAAATCCTAAAAATTTAGTCAGCCACCTGACTTAAGCTAGTATATTTCTTGAAGGATATTGTACTTCAACATTTTCACTTCCCTATTATATATAAAACAATAATAAATATACTTTATGAAGTGAAGAAATGACTAATGATGAAAAGGGCAAGCAAATATTGAGAATACTATCCATCTCATTATAATTACAAATAGAAGATAATTCAATAATACTTTTGTCAGAATTTTACCATATACAAAATCAAAAGCCTCAGTGACAAAATTTCAGTGATCTTGGAATTATTCTTCAATTAATCCTTTTGTTCTCAAGAAACAGTAGGATTCTAGTGCTCTGGAGGAGAACTTCAGACAAAATATGTAAACGTAAGTTGTCAGTTCCTCTTGCCTTAATAATGGCATTATAACATAACACCCCGAATTGTATCATTTGTACAGCTTTTCCTTTCTTTGAGATTCCAGAAAGTTGCCAGAGAGAGCCAAGAGCCTATAACGTTGCTTCAAATTGCGGGCTCTGACATGTGCTGAAGCTATTTCCACAGTGTAGTTTCCAGGAAACCATCCTCTTTCGCCATCACGAATTCTTTCTCCTTGATACCAACCTGAAGAAGAAACATTACAAATTATACAACCTAATATTTAAATATTTTAATTTTCTATCACTAAATATTTTAGGATGTAACTATGATTATCAAAGTTCACATTATTTTGAAATGTATTCACACAGAGGAAATGTTTGGGGGGAATTAAAATGAGCCCATTCCACTGATAATTCAATCATTAAATTAACAATGGCATTTACATAAACAATTGTGAGAAGTAACATGGGAGGGATCTAAGACCTAATGATTAATTTCATGAATTATAATTTCAGCACTAAAGCTCAAAATTCACTGAACCCTGGCATGTATGAGTCATGTTCATTGAGAGGTAACACACTTTAGGTCTAATCACTCATGGGGAAATCCATTGCTCAAACCCTATTTAGTGCCAATTCAGTTGGAGTTGTCTAGTCCTTCAGAAACCCTGAATTTGTATAGGGTCATTTATTGTTAAGAAAATAAAGTAATAAATTGACTTACATAATGAGTCTTAGTTACTAAATGAACAAATTATTTAAAAAACAAACATTACATTTCAAATTAAATTGTTTTATTTCTCTGCAAAAAAAGAAGTTCACAATTAATGCAGAAAATTAATTGGTGACATTTAATTGATGCATGCCGATTGAAAGAATTAAGAGACAGAGAATCATAAAGGAACCCTTATTTTAATACATCTCGTTTATAACAGTAAACGCGTTGTTTTGTTTGTCACTACAGGGCTAGTTATGATCTGCTTCTCAAATGCCTCCCAATTAAGGCATATATTTTTCTTTAGGCAGAGGAGCTTACCATGATTTCTTAAAGAGGGGTGACTTATGACTTACATTTTTTTAAACAGATAATAAATTTATACAGAGATAATAGAACTACCCTAGAAAGTCTTTTAGGATTAATCACTGACTTCCTAAAAAGTAACTTTTGTATTTACCCAAATATAAGACAAGGTTTTTCCTGAATATCTACTTTGAAAAATACAGCGTAGTCTTATATTCAGAGATACTGCGCAGTTTTATATTCAAAGATACTGCAAGTTTTTATATTACCTTTTCATGTCAAGAAATCTAAAATAGGAGGGTCATCTTACGAAGGAGTAAATATGGTATAATACGCAAACAAGAACACAAATAAGTTGTCTCCAAAAAGAAGAGTAAATACAAATATACATGAAGAACAAGAACATACCATCACTCATTTTACAAAGAACATTGACTACATCAGACACATCAAGAGAAAGTTCATCAGGTTGTCTAGCGATGTACGAATGAATAGCAGTCACTTGAGGGCAGTCCCATTCTTCATAAACCCTTTCATCAGGATTATCTGATGTGGGTTGACTGACAGCCTCCAGCCATCTTTGTCGATCTGACTCCAATGGGCAAGACAATATCTACAAAATTAATAAAACAAACGTTTCAAAAATTTACATACTTACTGCACATCTTAAATTGCTGGGTGCCAACTTACCATTTCCACGGTTTTTTTCTCATGGTTTTGTAACATTGTCAGAAGCATCAAATTGCGTCCACTATCAGCAGAGTATTTTACAGGCAAATGGGGCATCCCTTCAGCACATGAAATTTGCACTAAATTTCGTGGGCAATAATCAACAACAGTGTAGCACTCTTCACTAAAGTGGAGAGAGAGAGAAAAAAAAAAAAAAAAAGAAAAGAAAAAGCAGCATTCAGATTAAAATATATCCTAATATTTCAAAACATGACCAATACAGCTCAAACATATAACTCATAACAATACTTTACCTTTTCTTTTTTGCGATTACCAGTAAATCAGTAAACAGGAATACGTGTAAAGTCACTTTGGAAAATTTCTTTCCAAAAGTGAGTTTCGCATCATCACCTCGCCATACCAGTTGTAGCAATTCTCCACTTCGTACCAGATAGCGAGATGATGAAATAATAGGCACCGACTTTACTTCTCGAGGAAATTCAATCTGTCTGCTCAGTATCAAAATCTGCTCCATTCTTTCCATATGTCTTGCACCTTCATTACAATCTTGAACAACCTGTAATATACAAATCATGATGGAGGGTTGAAGGGGAAGAAAAAAGAAAAGTTTTCATTAAAAAGTCAAAACAAACCAAGTCAGTACTTATGATACTATTTTGCTTGGTGTTTGTTGTTTGGGGATTGAGGGGGGGGGGGTTGGGGAATGCTATGTGATGCTTTTCAGAATTAACGCCCTCACCCAGTTTAAAGACTTCAAATTCATATAATCGTTACTACTAACATCAATTCTCCTTTATATTATAATGTTCGTGTCATAAAGTAACAGAGTATAATACATTGCAAAGTTGCCAAACAAGTTTACTATGAGTTAATTCTGAACTTCTGCTGTCTTTATATTTGTGTGTGGTGAAAATGGAGCAGTCAATACTAGCAAACGAAGTTTGTATTTTATTGTCAATTTACTTTATTTTGCAGTAATTTGTACATTACGTTTTACATAATACATAAATTTTGTTTGAATTAATTTAAAAAAATCATTTAAATCAGCTTTTCAAGCTTTTTGTTTTTAACTTCTTTTTAAAACTTAGATGGGGTTTTCAACCTAGAGAAAATTTAGCCAATCGTATGTGAAGCTAACACCTCTTTAAGGTAATATGTTTGTTATATCGATCACGGTGAAGTACCTCCAGAAATTACTGTAAATGAAAGCAAAATCAAGATAGTAAGAAAAAAAAATTGGCCCCAAATTTACCAGTCTAATGTTTTATAGAAGAAATTTATATTAGTACAGGATCTTACAGAAAAACTTTTGCAGGCATTGATTTTTTTAAATTACAGAAGAATTTATATGATGAAAGTACTTCTTTCTTTTATTCAATATGAAGTAATTTGTTTTAGGAATCTGACTATATTAAATGCAAGTACCTCGCTGGGCATTCTGAGGAGTAGTTAAGAAAAAACTGCTGCAAAATTCATCATAACCGGAAGTACTGACTTGCGTCCTTGGAGTAATATTGTACAAATCATGCTGTTGTCACCCCTGTTTCTCTTCAGATACAAGATAAAGCCACAATAAATTTAAATTTTGTACCACACACAAACGCAAACTGTTAGATGATAGTCCATTTCAATGGAAACAAAATGGACTAATATTCAATGCAGAAAGAAAGAAAAGAACGAGCACCAAAGTCAA